ATGTAACAGCGTTACGCGATAATAAAACCTTTCTAGACGTTCGAGACTTCAGCCGAAAAAGGTCGTTCTTATAGCATAAATAGAGTTTGATAAGCTGTGTCAAATGGCGTTTGAATGAACTTTCTAGCTGTTAAACCTTCCGAGTTAATTGAAGAACAGTGTGTCAAAAACGTAACAGCGTTACGTTTGGACAAGCCGCAATGCAAAACCATTACATAGTATCTTCATGTGTAACATGTATATTTGAATAAAATCCATTCTGAAAATCGCAACTTTAGTGTATCTAAGGGTTTCTTGTTTTAGCCAAATTTCGAAACCGTATGTATACGGACTTGGGCCTCAGAGGATTAATGCAAATGAAACGAGGAGAAAGTGCTGAAATCTCCTCTTCTCATGATGAATATTTAAATCGAGATGCTGTAGCCAAGGGAAAATAAAGGGAGTAGACAGTTGGAATTTGAGCAACACATTTATTCGATAAACAATAATTAATTCGAATGATTTATATTTTTGTCGGATTCGGCATACAGGAATGAATAGTTTAAGAAAAGAAAGCGCTTTATGGAAATATGATGACAACTATAATATATATGGCAGAAAAACTGAATATTACCGTTGAAAATTTTTTTCATTTCGAATCAAATCAAACAATGACTGACGATTAATACGGAAAAGATCATCAACGTGTTTGACGATAACGTCTTAGTCAAATATTTCAACCAAACAACAAAAACTTATTATTCAATAAGAAAAACTTATAAAAACTACCAGAAGTAATTTGCATAATATTTCTCCAGGGCGATTATTTCATTAAAACCGTGATTACAAATTTCATGCAACTTCTTGAAAAATCTGAGATTTTTTCAACATGTTTCGAAAGTGAAAAAATTCTTTTTCTTCCATTTTTTTCAAAAAACTTCTGAACATTCTCAAAACTTCCTTGAAACATATTTCAATAACTGAATTTATGAATTATTTGTTTTCCAATTTTTGAATATTTTCTAAAAACTTTCATACGACTTTTGCTTCCAGAAAGCATTTTCATTGATATGACTTTGTCAAACGAAACCATTTCGAAGATTTTCTAATGATTTCTTATAGATTTCATGTTTTAAGAAGATTATATGTTAAAAGTTTGATACTTCCTGTGGCAGTAATCAATATTCGGATCTAAAAGGGTATCCGATTGCTAAACGATGATTATTTGTCAAAATTGGTTAAGGCAATATTTTTCAACATTAGCTAGAAAATTCCATTGCACACAAATTACCATATTTAAATTAGCATTTAGTGTTGGCTTGAAAATCCGATATCAGTTGCGTTTAAATGGAAAGCTTCATTAACATGAAAAAGGATTCTAAATTGTATCACATTGATCTTTATGACGATATTCATCAATCAAATCGTTCTTTGGGATTTCCATTTTAAATCAAGATATCATTGATGTTAATGAAATAAGAAACTGTCGAAGTTGTAAAAAGCATCGATTTTGGTTTTCGCTGTTTTTCAAAATAAATTTGAATTAGAGTGTTTCGATTGATTGATGTATCGTACTGATAGCAAATATATTTGATCACCTTAGACATTGGTTGTGGGTGCAGGCATCATTGATTTCTCTTTCACCACACCTACTCACACACATGCTAGGTACCTTCCATTAGAAATTTCTATACGTTATACTGTAAGTGTCTTGGCATTTCAATGAGGTATAAAGACATAAAAAGTGTATGGTTCTTTCGATATTAAAATTTGTTGTGCTTGTATTATGAAATGAACAATTCGAGAGAAGAGCCAAAACTTCTATGTATATGCACTTCATATTTATATTTTTGGCATCAAATAGGGTGTGGGTGTGGATGTCGGAATTGCCGGTATAGACGCACACCCAGACCCATTCATCTCCACATCTACTCAACCCTACATCCCAGTTTTAAAACATTGTATAATATTTTGTTATTGTTTTTTCAAATGTTTCAAAGCAAACTTGAAAGAACTTATATTGTGAATTATGTCCTCTGTAATGAACCATGATATCTGCATTGAGAATTTACTATACAACCCATATTGACATAGTCAAAGGACGAAAATAAATGCATTAGAACCACTCATGAAAGATAGCCTGGGAAACAGGGAGGGTGGGGTGGAATTTCCTTACTATGAATATTTCCCTTTTTTCAAAACAATTTTCGACGAAAAGTTGTAGTTCAGTTTCTTTTGAAGAGCATTTTAAAATAGAAAATGAATTGAATCAATCAGTTTTTAAAGTAATTGATGTTATGCATTTTGGGAGGCAGTCATATATACGTTGTTAGATCTTCAAATGCCACTTGTATCGAACTACATTGTGTTTTTTGCTTTTTTCTGCTGATTAAAATACAATAGATTTCAAAAATAAAAAATTTGCAATACGTTAGATTGTTGCTTTTTATGTACGAAATATGTGTTTTGTCTTTTGGGAAACATGGTCAAAAAGGAGTGTTGAAGAAAAAGGGTAGAAATTTGGATGAGAGATGCCAGAAGACAACTTTTTTTGATCTGGCCTACAGACCAATTATTGTTTCTGATTTTAAGAATATGTTTAATTCTAAATCTCTGCATTAATGTATCATTCTAGTTCCAGTTGTTCGCTTAATTCTTTTCCAGAAAGACAAGATACTAACAAAGTCTAGCACGAAGTAGAAAATTAAAACAGCCAGGTATATGAAAATTTTTCATCCAATAAAGAAAATTTTCATTTGTCAGTCATTTTCGCAGCAGTACTAGCGCGAAATTTTCCATCCAATTGTTATGAAGTTTAAACAAGTTTTTGTGCTCGTCAATTTAAGTGCTACGATATTGACTTAACGTTTGATTCAAGCTAAGACGATGTATCAACACTTTTTTTCCAAAACGTAGGAATTACACCAATGAGTTTGGTCTGTCAATCAGACGGAATACTATATGCATAGATGGCGCGCCACAGTAGCGAGGGATAGCAATTGCTAACCCAACAGAAACTTAGAGATAGCAATAAAAAGTTATTGCTACCCCTAGAAACATTAGCTTGCGCTGCCCATGAACATCCATTATGAATAGTTTAATCTGAAATTTATCATCATAGTGAATGTTAAAGAAAAGAATCAAATCGCCACAATCAGATGCACATAGAAAGGGTTTTTATTAAACAAATGACGGTAATATAGAGTATCAGAAATGTGGACACATTTCTCTTAAACGTATTAGAAAATAAAAAGAACAAAAAAAAGATGGCAATACCCTTCAATTGTTTGGTTATTTTTCTCTTTCCCTAAGAGAAAAAATCGAAAGAAGGAAATGTATCTCACGAAACCAAATCAAATGAAAAATATAATGTTTGTGTTGATGGTTTTCTTTAATTATAGAAAAATATAAGTTAGAAAAGAAAACAGTATTTAGGAAACGAAACCGATGAAATGTATTTTTTAAATTCTTTTTATTAACTAACAACGACAACCACTTTGATTATAATTAACAGGTTCATGATTTGGACCAACATTAAGTTTGACTTCAATTACAAAAAAAAATAAAGCAATCTTTACATTTTGTTTTATTTATTAACATTAACTCACGATTTGTCGAACTGCATCCAGATGTTTCCGTACTAGGTAAAGCCGCTACTACACGTCGAAATAGCTAAAATCAAAATAAAACTTATTAATAATTCATAAATAATTAACATAAAATAATACTTGTTTAACATTATATCCTTTTTTAGCACTTGCTTCAATAAACATAACATTCAACTCGTTGGCTTTTCTTTCACCATTTTCAATTGATACTTGTCTTTGATCAGCTAAATCACTTTTATTACCCACTAATAATGAAAAACCAAATAAAACCATTCAATTGAAATAGATCAATTAAAAATATCTTACCAAGCATGATTACAATATCATTACCACGTTCTGAACGAGCATCATCAATCCATTTAGATGTTTGTTGAAATGAATTTGAATCTAAAAAACAATAATATTGAATTTTCAACATATCATATTTATTTATTCCTACTTGTTATGTCATAAACAACAACAGCAACACTAGAGTCACGTATATAACTTGGAATAAGGCTTCTGTTAAAAAAAGAAATATTTTATGAAAATGCAAGAAGGTAAAGCAATCTCTTAACCTGAATCGCTCTTGTCCAGCAGTATCCCTAATTTAACAAAACATGAAATTATAAGTCATAATGATGAATATAAGTTTAGGACAGCTGTATTTTTAAGTTTTCGTCTCGATGGCAATAGTTAATAAGAATCTGAGAAAGCGTTTATATAATTGAAAGGATTTTTTTATCCGGATTGATAGTTCCGAAGAATTCAGAATGGCTTTGATGATGCTCTTCAGAAAACCAAAACTTCCAAAATTAAATTTTTGGCACTAGTCCGAAGATTTTGGGAAAAACATTTTATTTCATAGAGAAAAATTAGATCTATCCATGACTTTTCTTCATCGAACTGCATTCAATCGCACAAGACCTCAAGGCGTCAAACAATGAAATCTTCAACACAAAGAATGAAAAAAATTCTTGTATGACTTGCTGTAAATTAAATGCAGTTCGATGAAGGAAAGTCATGAAGAAATCGAAGACATCTCATTTAACACTATGAAATAAAAGCTTCAAGTAGACACCAGAAACCTGATTTTGAAGGTCTCGATTTTTCGAAGACCCTCATATGTAGTCCATCGGATCCTAATTTTTTTGGATCCGGATGGAATTCGTACTGATAGTATTCTCAATAAGATTTTTGAATCCGTCTTGATAGTCTCTCGGTGGATATGAAATACTTTTTTCGCTTGTTTAGATTGAGCAACTAGCATGTCCTACGTATTTCTCAGGGTATATTGCAGGCGATCATATAAGAATGTGGTCATAGTTGACTTTTAAAGTAGCAAGTGTCGAGTTCTACTAACATTCAAAGTGCATAAATGCTTTTTATAATTCTTTGATAGCTTTCATCATTGAGAAGAATGCATAAAAATACACCTATTCTAGATGCATATTTGAAAGATAAACTTTTACCATAATTGTAATCGAACAGTTCGATTTTCTAAATACATAGTTTTGGAAAGAAAATCAATACCGATTGTCGCCTAAAATGATATTACTCAAATGAAGGTTTAATAAAATTATCAATACTTACTTGATATGTATTATCAAAACTGTCATACATAAAACGAGTTATTAATGAAGTCTTTCCAACTAAACCCAAAAGACACAAAAGAACATATCACAATATTATATATTAAATATGACCCCTTCTTACCGGTCTGCTCGCCAAGAAATACAAGTTTGTATTTTGCAAGTGGATTTTCGCTTTGTTTAGCTGAAATTTTTTTATATTGTTATAGTGCATGAAAAAAAAAGAAGTCTTCAAAATAAAAACTTTTCTTTATATATTGAAAAGTAAAAAAGCTATTCTTAATAAGATTTGCTATTTCATAGCATAATATCTTTACTTTCTATAAAAGAACCCTAGGTGTCATCTCTAATTGAGCATCAATGTGATGCTTTACTCTAACAATTTTCCTTTTGATGGCCTTAAAAATTTTTCGAATGAATCGTTTTCTATGGTATGGGTGTGACTGCTTTTTTCACCCGTACCCACACACTCACTCGAACTGTATTATCGCTTCTATCCCAAAAAGTTAAATACCTAAACACTCAGGGTGTGGATATGCGTGTGGGTGTCGATCACAGTGAAGAGTTTCACTACTACAACACCGCTCACACTGCGATCTACACACTCGCACCCACCATTCAGTCAAGGAAATACCATAAATTTAACAAATTTACTTATTGACAGGAGTCAGGAAGCCCAAAATATTCTAGGAACTCTAGAAGCTTAAGAAAGACGTTCAATAAGAAGAACCTTAGAATATACACAAACTGCATGAAGCGTCGAATTTAAAAAAAGTTAAGAAACTTAGAGATCCCAAGCATATCAACAAAGTCTAGGAATTCACTGAAACAGAAGAAATCATAAAACTCAAGAACCTATATGTAGACAAAAACTTGTCGAAATTCAGAGAAATAGAGAAAACTGTGAGACTCAATGAACTATAGTAATCATATGATGATGAGAAATTCAAGTCTCATAAACCACTTCAATAATTAACGAAACTGATAGTAGTAATGAATAAAAATGATTTTGCAATCGGCTCTTTTCATTTTCGAATTTCAAGTCTATATAGATGTGAATTGCCTATCATATAAATATTGACACTATCAATACATTGCCATACAAGTCAATGTACATGCACTGTAAAGTAGAAAATATGTCATGATTTTCTATTTTCAACAGCTATTCCTTCATTATATCAGTAGCTACTCGACCTGATATTTCAACATTGTTCATAGGTAACAACACTTTATACAGGTCTGAATAAAATTAGAAACTATTTAATCCCTTATTTTAAAAAAGTGCAACACTGTTAAGAAAACATTTACTTGTTTATGTTCTCATGTAAAGATAACAATAATTCAAAAGAGATTATAAACAAATTATACAAATCATAGCACAATTAATTTGAGTGATGTTTGTTCAAAGACTATTGGAAGCAAGAAAAGCTTGTGACGAAAAAGTCTATGCATCATACAAAATAAGCTCTTCAGCTAAAACGAGAATATCTCAGAATCAAAGACCCTATTTTAAGTATAAAAACATTATATAAAGAAATCGTAATCGAAAAAAATTAAAAAACAAGTATTTGGATTTTTTTCTAAAAAATAAGAATTTGTAATTAAAATGTAATTGATTGTGTTCATCAACGGAAAACGACTAACACGCATTGTAGCTACGAAATGTTTTTTTTGATCTACTCTCTACAACTGCCAAGAAGACAATGAATGATCGACGTCGTATCTGATTTTCTATAAATTTGTAGTTGATTTTTCAATAAGTGCAAAATCAGTAGTGATTTTACATTCTTTGGAAAATGAATTTTTTCGAAAATCAAATTAAATTTGTATTATTTAGAAAACCAAGTATGTTCTGAATATTTTAAATTTGGCGAATGAAGCATAAAAGTTTGAAAATGCTTTAGCTTATCTAAAGTCGATATTCTACAAAATAGAATGTTAAAAAAAATACAGTGTAGATTAGCTATCTGGGTTTCAAATCATAGATTCTTCTCTTCTAGCCTCGTTCTCTGTACAATCGAAAACATTGGCATCATTAATAAAACCCGTCCTTTTTATATTACACATAGAAAAGCTGAACATCATATAATGTTGGAAACAACGCATGGTCAATATGCGAGAGCTAGATAGATTTTCAACAAAAAGTCAAAAGCACTTTTCTAAACAGAGTAAGGGTTCAGAAAATTTTGCCAAGTTTTACCCTCGAACAATTCTTGTATGTACAGTTCTCGTTTGATGAGAAAGCAATGGCATCTAAAATGTTGTCTTCCCTAAAGCACTGGAAAAGCAAACATCCTATCTACGACCGGACGCCGATAAAAAGATCACAAAATCGTATTAATTCCTCAGTTTTACTTGATATTCAATTAGATCATGAACTTCCAATAATTCTGTTCACTGTTAAGAGACATTTTCAATAATCTTTCGGTCCTTGATGCGAAGATTCAATACATCGAGTTGTAGACTCTGCTCGCGATAACGTGAGTGCACAATATTTCTTTAATATACAGATTCATTGAATTCTTTTTATTTAGAAAATACCCACATTCCTTCACTGAGATGCTACGGCAGAGATGAAAGGGAGCTGAAAATTTCCTTCTGATAAAGGCATACGCTTTCTGTCGACATGTAAATGATGACAGTTATACTAAAAGACAAGTAAGTCAATGCGTGTGAACTATAGACACGTGAGACAAATTCTTCGAAATGTGATCATGTGACCTACGAGTTCCTCCCATGTGCTCAGAGCGTATGAGAAATTACAGTCACTTTAATGAGATACCTCTCACCATGACCAATCATTCTCACTTTTAATGCGATAATCAACAAAATCTTACCTTTGTTTACTGTAGCATTGGTTATCAAGGTGGGTTTCTAAAAGTATAAGATATTTGATCAATATCCATTTTTTAAAATGAATTTCATCTGACCGTTTGGATGATGGAACTTGTTTCAGTGTTTACGGTAGTGGCGACTCGTACTGCAGCTGAATCGTTCTGTAAAAAAAATGAGATAAGGATGAACAAAAAGAAGGACACTAATGCATTGTTCGAATTACTTGAAATTTGCTAGAATATGTCTCTTTGTTTGCCTCGGTTATGCCAACAGTAGCCGTTGTCGAAGCGCCTACAACTCAAAACAATCATTTAAGTCTTGCTAGAGTTTTTGTGTCATTTCCTATGAAATTTTATATATTCTTTCATTGTTGGATGGTATTTTCAAAGCAGAGACGGGTATCACCAGCAGCAACTGAAGAAGTAAAGGCTTCTTTCAAGGTGAGGGTGTGTGTGTGAGCGAAAGGCAGGAGACTGTGATTGACGCAGAGTGTGAGTGTTTCGTATCAAGATGTCAGATCTTCTCTCATCCACACCGTTAAAGTACCGTTGTCACTAGCTTTGAAATTGGCATAAGTCTACACACATATGAATCCGCCTAGATTTTGCTGGAAAAAAATAAGGACTAATGACTTAGCTACTTAGAATCTCTCGATCACGATCTATAAAAATGAACATTGTGTTATTCTTAAATTTTGTTTCATTCTCAGAAAAAATGAAATTCTTCTGATTGCAGAACTAAATTTAACAGAGATGTTCAAGCATGTGGATATCTATAGAAATTTTCATGGTCACCATTCAATTCTAGGGCAAATTCAATCGTACAATCGGAATCAACACAAAAAATAAGATCAGATCATATATACCCTCGGAAAAAAAAATAGTTTTCGCCCGTATCTCAAATATATTGTCACTATAAAAGCATATTTTTCTAAAACCAATTGTATATTCTGAAAGTCCGTGAAGTTTTCTATAATCCTCTACATGTTTGTTGTAGTTTGTACTTGGTCATTAGAAAAATAAGTCGAGTACAATAAAGACACACTCATGTTCAGATTCCCAAAAACAAAATTTTGTTAATGTTATGAAAATTAGTTTTTAAACTTTTTTATCATTAGAGCAGTATTTTAAAAAAAAGTAATTATATATCCTGATAGAGCTTGAAATTCTCTATCATCCCGTATATTTACTTATTTTCTTATATTCATTTATTGAAAAGAAAATTTGAGTACAATGAAAACATCCTCAATCGACAAGTATCGAATTTCGCTGTTTTTTTTAATTAGTACCTCCAAAGAAATTAATTATACCATTGATAGCGCATACAATTCCCTATCATTCTATGTCTCATATAGACATACTCTTTGATAAAATTCTTAGGAAAATCATTTTATTGCTATGGTGACTAAGCGATCACGTGTCTCTCCATGTGACCATCCACATGACTGCCCATTGTCCAGTGTTTTGTGTACATTCTGAAAGTTTCTATGGTTTTCTATATCTCTCTTATGTTCTGGAATACTAGTGGTTGTCACTCTGTATCTCTTGTATTGCTGATCTTCCACTTTCTCAGTCAATTACCCAGTATTCACTTGAACAGTGAGATCTTTAGTTTTCGTGTGTGAATAAACTAGCTCTTCTAAATCGTAGTTTCTGGTCGGCATCGAACTTGGCCTGAAGACATGACAGATTCATCAGTAATGAGTGGTCACTTATCTATTGGTGATCGATGGCGAATTATCTCGTTAGGTTTAGATCAAGGTATGACTTCGAACAAAATAGCTTCTGGTATTAATTGTACAAGTCGAACTGTTCGTAATATTTTACGATTATTTCGTGAAACAAATATTGTTACCGAACGAGGAGGTCGTGGTTGTACTTTATTGAACAATAGGAGAGGAATTTAAGATAATATAACAGTGGATGGAATGATAGGGAATTTCATGCGCTATGAATGGTACAATTCATTTCTTTTATATAATTGATTTCTTTGGGGTTATAATTAAAAATGACAGCGAAAAAATGTAGATTTTTGGTACTTGTCAATTCAGGATGTTTTCATTGTACTCAAATTTTCTTTTCAATAAATGAATATAAAAAAAAATAAGTAAATATGCAGGATGATAGAGAATTTTAAGCTCTATCAGAAGATACAATTACTTTTTAAAAAAGATACTTCTCTAGTGATACAAAAAAAGGTTAAAAACTAATTTTCGTAACGTTGACAAAAATTTGTTTTTGGGAATCTGGACATGAGGGTGTCTTCATTGTACTCGACATATTTTTCTAATGACGAAGTATAAACTACAACATACATGTAGAGGATTATAGAAAACTCCACGGGCTTTCAGAATATGTAATTGGTTTTAAAACAATATGTTTTCATAGTGACAATATATTTGAAATACGGGCGAAAACTAATTTTTTCCGGGGGTATAGTAATTCAGCATTAAGACTAGCACGTGCACCCGCTTTAGATGGTATATGTGAGGAACAGTGATATCGAAATTTACTTGTCTAGTTTGATTTTCGAGCGAAAAAATGATGTGAGCTCATTACTTTAAATAGTGTTTTCAATAAAACTAGCCTAATGCTGCTCTTTAATCGATTTTATTCAAAGGTTTACTACGTACCTGGAGCTGTTTCGCACAAACAAATATCATCTTCTGTTGATAATGAACCAGTATGATATGGAATCTGTCTTAATGCTGACTCTTCTTTTACTGCGCGGGTAACAGCGCCTAATATCTTAAAAATATCTCTATTAGGCTTAACAATATGTTCTAGAAGATGCTTCGTAAATAAGCCATTTGCTTGTTGTCCATTGTCATATGCTATAGTTCCAGCTGCGCAGGCAAATCCAATCAACGTTCCAACGTTACCAATTGGTCTCTGATCACAGAGTTTAGAGTCATCGGTAGAAAATGCTCGAGCAGTCATTTTATCTAAATTAGGACTACGCCGAAAGTAAACTCGACAACAATCCAATAGACATATCGTTGCAAATGGAAGTCGATCAGTGAAATCTTCCAACAATCTTTGTACATGGATCATGTGTCGTTTTAACTTTTCGAGACTTACATCTGGATTATCTTTTATTTGAATTGTCATTTCCTTCGAAGAGAGCACAGCTTGTTGAATATTGGCATCCTCCTTGTTGGCATTTTCCTTTGGTATCAGAAAATTTTGATCCTAGAACCATCGTATAATAAAATTTTCACGGCTTGACTGTTGTGCCTAACAAAACAGAGTATCTCGATTCTTTGGTGAAAAAAATATTTTATTCTAATAGAACACGCCCAACATTTTCGTCTGTACCGAGAAAAATAGATCATTTTTTCATCATGGAGTTTGGTACTATGCCTCCAAGAGGCTCTTTTCTCTTCCAGAGCAGCCATGAAAACTTCCCAAAAATAATAAAACTCTATTCATGCTCATAAAATTTCTAGCGCTTACTTCCCACTGTATGCCATGCCCAGCAAAATAAAATAAGACCATGCTATCTTGCTTTATGGATTGCTCAAAATTGAAAAGAGCAGTCTTCATTTTATCGTATGTTGGATTGATTTCCTTTGTAACAGTGAAACCAATACTTTGTAGCGTATATGCCATAGCATTTGCATCATTTACTGCATTTTTTAACGGTTTGCTATATTTATAGTCATCAATACCAATTACAAGAGCCATTTTACGCCTGGATAAAGTGTTAGATTGGTGTTTCGCTTCAGCCATTATTAGAAATGATTTGTATCTGAAAAATCTATATCGTAATTCGGTATCTGGGATGAGGTCGAATGAATCTCCTCTTCATGTTTACCTTTGCCCACATCTACACTCACATCTACACACCTTCAGATGACTGGTACTTAGAAATGTTTCTTTCATAGGCAACCTTTCCATAGTATATCGAAGATCAGATCCTACGTGTTTTCTAATGCAGAGTGGTCCTACACGATCCTTCTGCATATTGCATAGACGAGATGAAGCTTTTACTTGCTTGCTTGTAGACGTAAATCTTGCTTTCCGTACCATAGCGTGTGCAAAATAAAATAAGTTAGCTTGTACTTAACCTGTGTACGTTCTTTTATAGAATCGGTGACGAATACATTCTATTTCGCTGGTGAGAAATCTAGGAAACTCACTTCAGTCTGTCCTTTTCGTCTCTTGAACGAAGAAAGAAAAAAAAAGGAGACTTCTATCATTATGGTCATAGATTGCTATATTATTGCAGTGACGAAGAACAACACTTCGGTTATGCAACATCACGTTATTGACATTGGCAAAAAGATTCTGTTGCATATGGACAGTTCTGTAAAAAGAGAATGAAGCGAAATTTTTTGTCTCTTTACCATTTCATGGCGTTGTCACCAAACGACTTTCTACAAACTTGTGTCAATCAAATATCTTTTGTAAAAGACCTATATCTTCAATTCCTAGCGAAAGGCAACATCTATCTGCTATTGTTGAGACCTTTTGTAGGTAAGTCGAAGTCAATTCAATATTTTGGGTAATGATGATCGTAAATTCACGACACCAAACGCAAGTTTTTGAGTGTGAACAGGTGTGGGTATTTGTGTCATACGCGCAGCTACCCAGGCAGACAAAACTTTCGAAAAACGCGTTTAAACGCACAATCGGGAACCGCGACTGTGATCCAGTCACGCTCATTAAAAAAACGCAAGCAACGACGTTTTTTGTACAAAATAGTCACTTTTCAAGCGTGAAAACGGTGGAAAACTTAAATTTCTAGTGTTAAAACGTTCTCTTTTTCTAAATTAAAAAAACGATGCGTTTAAACGCTCAG